ACGGCGACGTAAATTTCACTTCATCCCCCTGCATATAACGAGTGATTCGTCAGATCTACTCACCTCAGATAATAATAATAATAATAATAATAATAATAATAATAATAATAATAATAATAATAATAATAATTTAATGATGATGATAACTAACGCTATTAGTGAGGCGTACTGAAAACACACGCCCATTGCAGAGAGTACAGAATTAACAGTCAAAAGATCTAATAATAATATAATCTGTCATGTTCAACATATGGGTGTCATTTGGGCACTTAGCAACCACAATAGGCCTAAGAGACTTTTCATTGATAAAAGGGATATCCCCTATCGTTTCCTATTAACTCCCTTCATTTCACTTACATGCCCACATTTCTTGAAGGCCAGATTATGAAAAATGGGCAACTAAAGCACCTTGAGAACACAAAACGACAATTAATTCCCAATTGTCAAAGCTCCTAAGACAACATGCAATTTGAGTGCGAAGACAAACAATTGAAAAGAAAAGAAAAGAAAAAAAAAAAAGGAGGAAGGAAAATGGCAACTGGCAGAAATAATCCAGATTATTCGTTTACATGATCGACCTTGATAATCACAACTGTTAACATGATGAAAGATTTCGTAATAATGCCACTCTCAATAATTATTTTATTGGGCAACTAAATCCCACTCAAATTGGTTTTCAGATGCCAGAAGAAAAACTCCAGCAAACAATGAGAATGTCATTCTGCACTATGAGTAAATTTTTTACTGAAAATGCTCGTGCTTAAATACATGAGAGCGAGCAATCCTGATTTAGAGATTATGGACTACAACTTTTTGCATTAAAGGACATGGCCACAGACAATAATGCAGAAGTGACCTGGGTAAGCTGCCATTGCAACTCAAGCCTTTTGGCTTCAGTTAAAGTTAATAAAAGCAGAAGTGGTTCTATAAGAGAATTTCATAGCCGTCACTGACCCACAAAAGCTCCAACACTTACCTGATCTTAGCTACACCTGGCGTATTCGAAAATACGAAATCATGACTACCCTCAAATAAGGCAACTAATTCACACAAGGACTATTTACTGATTGGCTTGTAGGTAGCCCCGACGAACGGCCCATCAGCGTAACATCATTGGCCACAAGTCTAACTTACCGTACATAGTATTAGTTCAAATATTCTGAAAACTGGGTATTTACTATCACAAATAGCATACCAGTGCAATTGATGCCATATAAAAACGGTATCCATATCATCGTAAAACCAGATGAAAGCTATAGACTCATAAATACAATAATAGCAAAAAAAAAAAAGGTGAGAAATTCTCATTCATCATACTAGCAAAAGAATAACTTAGCTGCTTCAATTTAGTAAGAAATAAGAATAACCCAAAATAGCTTCGTCTAAATAGGACATATAATACTTGACCCCAAATGCACCTATTTTACTCTCAAAACCTAAAAAAAAAAACCCAAAAAATAAAAACGAGAACTTTACCAATAAAAAACAAATACATGAAACCAGAAGATCAGATCACAAAAAATTCTTCAATCTACACACATAATCTGTATGCAAAGGTCGATGCAGAAAAGCAGAAAAATCAGATTAATTGAATAGAATAAACACTCAATGAAAGTCCAGATACAGCTCTAATCTTTACGAACCTTAATCCTCTTAGCTTCAGCAGCAAAGCCCGTCGCAGCAGAGAGCAAACCCAGAAAGCCCACAACGCAGCACAGTGCAATCACCTTTCTCTCCATC